AGTGATCATCATGTTCTGTGTTTGGAACTGCAAGAGGAAGTTGCGATGGACCATTCACTCAGTACTTCTGTTTGAAGATGGACGCATATACTTCAGTCTTGTCTTTTGCACCTATGCTGGGCTCTGACTTAATTGAAAATAGTTGTAGAACAGCCTAATTCTTTCAGTTATTTGCTCACCACTATTCATGACTGGATATTGTAGAACTGCCAGTTTAGGTGTGTTCTCTTGGTTGTGGGATCGCTTAGACGCATTTGTTCCATTCTTCTCCCACTGTTTAGCACGTGAGTAGTTTTATGTCATAGGTTCACTAGCTTGTCACCTCATTTTTAGGTGTGCCTGGTGCTGCTGCTGGAATGCTCTCCTGTACTCTTCATTGAACCAGGTTTGATCTTCTGGCTTGATAGTAATGGTAGAGTGGGGGAAATGACAGGCCTTGAGATTACAGACTGTGGTTGAATACACTTCTGCTTTTGCTGATGGCCCTTAGTGCCACAAGGATGCCCAGACCTGAGTTAATAGATCTGTTCAAAATTTGTCCCATTTAGCACAGAGGTAGTGCCAAATAATGCAACTTTGTCTCACAAGGTATGTGCAGTAGTCACTCTCACAGTTGCTTGAGTATTCTGTGGGACAGCTCTCCCAATGCTGGCACAAGTCCAAGATGTTAGTAAGCAAAATCTTGTAGGGGTTGGCGGTGATGTGCTTGCCGTTGTTCCTTCCAGTACCTAGGTTGATACTGGGTGGCCTGTCAGTTTTATTCCTTTCTTTAGACTTTATAGTGGTTTTTGATATAACTGTGTTAGTGACTTATCTGGCTACTTCACGGTCCATCATATTGCTGCGAATCTGGATTTCACATGAAAGCTAGATCATATAAGGTCAAAAAGTTTCTTTGTTGGATTCTTTTCCCTAAAGAAGCTTGATGGGTTTTTACGATGACCAACAACACAAAATGCGTGGTTGCCATTAGACTGGGTTTTAATTCCAGCTTTTTGAATTGAATTTTACCATATATCTTGGTGGGATTTGAACTCATGTTCCCAGAACATTAGCCTGGGTCTGTATATTATGAGTGTATTTTTCCATAATGCATAATTACATTACCACTATGCCCACTGGTTGGCATTCATCTTTGCGCTTAATAAGCGGGTTTATCAAAGAACAGTACTGAACAGTAAAGGCCCTTCAGCCCACCAAGACTGCATCGACATATGATGCCTTTCTAAGCTAAAAACCTTTTTGGCTCTATGTGGTCAGTATTCCTCTATTCCCTGCCTAATCATACACCTGTCAAGATGCCTCTTAAACATTGCTATTGTATCTGCCTCCATCATCACCTCTGACAGTGCATTCCAAGCACTTGCCACACCCTGTGTTTAAAAAAAAATCTTGGTTCTCACGTCTCCTTTAAACTTACCCCCTTTAATGTTAAGCTTGTGTCCTTTAATAACCTGGGAAGAAGACTCTGATTATCCATGCCTGTAATAATTTTGTAAACTTCTATCAGGTCACCCCTCATCCTTCGCCTTTCAAGTGAAAACAAACGAAGTTTGATCAATCTCTCCTCAAAGCTAATAACCTCCAAACCAGGCAACATCCTGGTAAATCATTTCTGTACCTTCTTCAAAGCCTCCACATTCTCTGGTAATGTGGTTACCAGAACTGTACATGAATGTGACGACTGCTTTTCTTCATTTATATAAATGATTTGGATTTGAGCATTGGAGGTATCGTTAGTAAATTTGCATATGACACCAAAATTGGAGGTGTAGTGGACAGTGAAGAATGTTACTTCGGAGTACAACGGGATCTTTATCAGATGGGCCGATGGGCCAATGGGCCAAGGAGTGGCAGATGGAGTTTAATTTGGATAAATGTCAGGTGCTGCATTTTGGATAGGCAAATACGGGCAGAACTGGGGGGTGTTGCTGAACAAGGAGACCTCGAAGTGCAGGTTCATAGTTCCTTGAAAGTGGAGTCACAGGTAGATAGGATAGTGAAGAATGCATTTGGTACGCTTGCCTTTATTGGTCAGTGCATTGACTGTTGGAGTTGGGAGGACATGTTGCGGCTGTACATGACATTGGTTAGGCCACTATTGGAATGCTGCATACAGTTCCAGTCTTCCTGCTATTGGAAGGATACTGTGAAACTAGAAAGGCTTCAGAAAAGATTTATAAGGATATTTCCAGAGTTGGAGGGTGAGAGCTATAGGGACAGGCTGAATAGACTGGGGCTATTTTCCCTGGAGCATCAGAGGCTGAGGGGCGACCTTATAGAGATTTATAAAATCATGAGGGGCATAGGTAGGGTAAATAGACAAGACCTTTACCCCGAGGTGAGGGAGTCCAAAACTGGAGGACATAGGTTTAAGGTGAGAGGGGAAAGATTGAAAAGGGACCTAAGGGATAACTTTTGCATGCAGAGGGTGCTGCCTGTAAAGAATGAGCTGCCAGAAGAAGTGGTGGATGCTGGTACAAATACAATGTTTAAAAATCATCTGGATGGGTATATGAATAGGAATGGTTTTGAGGGATCTGGGCCAAATGCTGGCACATAGGACTAGATTTATTTAGGATATCTGGTCGTCATGGATGAGTTGGACCGAAGGATCTGTTACCATGTTGTACAGCTCTATGACTCTAAAACACTATAACTAAAGTTTTTCTAGAACTGCAACATGGCTTGCCAATTTTTATATTCTAACCCTTGACCAATGAGGGCAAACATACCATCTATCTTCTTGATCACCTTATCCACTTGCGTTACTACTTCCAGGAACTGTGGATCTGTATGCCTAGCTTCCTGTACAATTTTGTGCTACTAAGGGTTCTGCCATTTACCGTGTACTTCTCTCTTGCATGAGCTCTCCCAAAATGCATCATCTCGAGTTTGTCCAGGTTAAATTTCATCTGCCATTTTTCTGCCCAAGTCTCCAGCCAATCTCTATCCTGTGTATCCTCTGGCAATCCTCCTCACCATCCACAGATGCCCCAGTGTTTGTGTCATCTGCAGACTTACTAATCAGCCACCTACATTCTCCTCTAAATCATTTATATATATTACAAACAACAGGGCTCCCAGCACTGACCCTTACAGAACACCATTGGTCACAGACTTACAGTCATAACAACATCCTTCCACCTCTACTCTCTATCTTCTGTGATAAAGCCAGTTCTGTATCCATCTTACCAACAAACCGTGGATCCTGTGTGACTTCATCTTTTGTGTCAGCCTGCCAGGAAGGAGCTTGTTTAAAGCCTTGCTAAAGTCCATATAGACAGCATCTACTGCCCCCTCTCCTCAATAATGTCACTTCCTCAAAAGAAACTCTATCAAGTTTGTCAGACATGACCTTGCCTGCACAAAGCTATGCTGTCTATCACTGAAGTCCATATTTTTCCAAATCTGAGTGAATCCTATCCATCAGAATCTTCTGAAATAATTTCCCGACCATTGACATTAGGCTCATGATCTGTAATTTCTCAAATTATCCCTTGTTGCCCTTCTTAAACAAAAGAAAGATTTCATGCAAGACCCAAATAATGTCCTTACCTGCCTCCCTCAGCATTCCAGGATAGATCCTATCAAGTCCTGGGAACCTGTCCACCTTAATGCTTTTCAAAATATGCAACATCACCAAGTTTTTTTTATTGACATGCCGTACAATATCAGCATTCCCCTCTGAGACTCACCATCCATCATGTCGTTGTCTTCTGTCAATACTGAATCAAAGTACTTATTAATAACCTCGCCCACTCTCTCTGTTTCCACACACAAATTCCCTCCTTTGTCCTTGAGTGGACCTATCCTTTTCCTAGCTACCATCTTACTCCTTATGCATACGTAAAATGCCATGGGATTTTTCCTTAATCCTGTTTGCCAAAGACATTTCATGGCCCCTTTTAGCCCTCCTAATGCCTGCTTGAGTTCTATCTTACTATCTTTGTATTTATCAAGAGCTCTGTCTGTCTTCAGTTTCCTGAACCTTATGTATACCTTTTTCTTTTTGACTAAGCTCTCAATTTCTCTTGTCATCCAAGAGAATCATGTCATTCCTTATCCTTCATTTTCACATGAACATGCTGGTCCTGAACTCTAATCAGCTGGCCTTTAAAAGATTCCCACATGCCAGATGTAAATTTACCCTCAAACAGCCATCCCCAATTTACATTCCCCAGTTCCTGCCTAAGACTGATAGTTAGCCTTTTCCAATTTAGAACATTTACCTGAGGACTACTCTTATTGTTATCCATAAATAACTTAAAACTTACAAAATTATGGTCACTGTTCCCAAAACGCAACCCCACTGAAACTTCAAACACCTACGAGTTCATTCGCCAATACTAGGCATAGTATGGCCCCTTCCCCCAGTTGGACTATCTACATATTGTTTCAAAAAGCTGTTTTGGACACACCCAACAAAGTGCATCCCCAGAACATTAAGCTGCCAGTCTTGTCTTTGTCTCAACCAAGTTTCTGTAATTGCTACAACATCATAGTTTTATATATATTAATTAAAGAGGTGGCAGATGGAATACAATGTTTAAAAGTGTGAGGTTATGCACTTTTGTAGGAAGAATAGAGGCGTAAAGTATTTTCTAAAAGGGGAAAGGCTTCAGAAATCTGAAGCGCAAAGGATTTGGAAGTCCTAGTTCAGGATTCTTTTATGGTTAACATGCAGGCTCAGTTAACAGTTAGGAAGACAACATTGAGGGCTAGAATACAAGAGCAGAGATATACTGCTGAGACTGTATAAGGCTGTGGTCAGACTGAATTTGGAATATTGTGAGTAGTTTTGGAGCCTGTATCTAAGGATGGATGTGCTGCCTTTAGAGGGGGGTTCCAGAGAAGATTTGTGAGAATGATCCCGGGGATGAAGGGCTTGTGAAATTAAGGCGGTTGAGGACTCTGGGTCCGTACTTGATGGAGTTTAAAAGGCTGAGAGGCTTCTGATTGAAACTTACTGAATACTGAGAGGCCTGGATAGAGCGGACATGGAGATGATATTTGCACCAGTAGGAGAGACTAGCACCCGAAGGCATAGCTTCAGAATTAAGGGACGACCATTTAGAACTGAGCTGAAGAGGAATTTTGTCAGCCGGAGGATGGTTAATCTGTGGAACTCATTGCTGCAGAGGACTGTGGAGGCCAAGTCATTGAGTGTATTTAAGCCAGAGATAGGTTTTGATTAGTAAGGAGATCAAGGATTACGAGGAGAAGGCAAGCAAATGGGATCGAGAAACACATTGGCCATGATTGAATGGCTAAGCAGACTTGATGGGCCAAATGGCCTTATGGTTTAATCCAAGCTTTAGCTTCATCTGCCTTACTAATCATATTCCTCAGTATTAAAACCAATACATCTCAGACGGCCAGTCCTGCTGTGTTCAACAACCTCTGAGTGTCTGTTCTTCCTCTTAGTCTTACATGCCTTAGTCTCTGACTCCTCTCGGTCAACTTATCTGACATTTATTATTTATTTATTTATTGTTACAAAAGCAGCAATTGCTGGCGAAACCCAGCAGGTCTGGCAGCAACTGATGGAAGAAAGTAGAATTTGATGAAGGGTCACTACTCTCGAACCAGATCTGAGTTCTGCCAGCAATTTCTGTTTTTGTTTCCGATCTCCAGAATCCGCAGTTCTTTGTTTTCTTGATGTATTCTTCGTTAGCCACTTTGTGAGAAGTCCTTTATTTTAAAAATTGTGGTCAAGTCCTTTTTTTTTCTTTGAATAGGGTGAGAAAATCCATGAAGATATTTTTGATATTATTGACCGAGAAGCTGACGGCAGTGACAGTTTGGAGGTGAGTCCAAGCTTTTAGTTGGTTTTGTGATACTCTGTTGAACTTTATACAATCATTCATAGTAAGCTATGTGATTGATCAGCAGCCACCTCATCAGTATACTGTTTTAACATTTCGATCAAGCAGATTAATTCCTGAACCCTTGAATTCTTTAATTATGAGACCAAGATGCTAAGTAGTGAGAGTTACGGGGTGGCTGTTTTTATTTAAATGCTGGGTTACCTTATAATTGGCATTTATAGCATCTCTGCCTGGGTTATCCAAAATTTGCACTTCAAACCATTAAACCTATGACACAGTAGCTAAAAAAAGCAAAAATAAGAGTTCATTGATTCATTTCTGAGATGATGCCGGGCAAACAAGTACTTGGCTGGGTCACTAACCATAGGAAAAATTGTAGGCAATCCCTAGGTTTGTCACCCATTTTGTAACAGACCCTGAACCATAATAACAACAAACATCCTTACTTAAGTTTGCAGTGATTTTCAGTTTTTGATATGAACCATTTATAATAGTGCTTTGACTCCATCAGAGGTGTTGTAATGTAGGAATTGAGTTTTTTGGCAAAACAGAATTGAGTCTGGTGAGATGGTTTGTACTTTGTATCAAACTATACGTATCTGCTCAAAGTGTAGTGGTACGCCATAGATAGTGAGTATAATTTTCACTTGAATCAAGGTGAAGGATGTCAGTGCAAAACAATGAACATTGCCGTATTATTACCCAGAATCAACGTCTAGTCAACATCAGATCAAGTATGGCTAGATGCTAAATTCTTACCCTATTTAAAACCATTTTGAGAAAACTCACCCTACTGAACCTTTGTGATTGTTCATGTTCTTCACCTAGTCTCTTCAATATGAGCTCTACCGAAATCTGGGTCTGAGATAAAAGGTATACTACTCATGAGTCAAAGTGCTAACCTGGCATCTGATCCATTTTCCATATACCAACAAGATCTGAAATGGTGAGGTTCACTTGGGTTTGAAGAAAGCAAATACGTTTTGGAATAGTGTAATGTGGGATTAGGTTGTTTTTGACCAGTGCAGATGTGATGGGCCAAAGGGCATTTATTTGTGCTGTAGATTTTTGTGACTGAGCTACAGACCCAGCAGACAAATGACCAGGATAGGTTACACAATGTGGGCTTGAGGATTATATAGAGTCATACTGCGTGAAAACAGACCCTTTGATCCAACCGGTCCATGCCGGCCATAATCCCAAACTAAACTAGTCCCACATGCCTGCGCTTAGTCTATATCCCTCCAAAAATTTCTTATTTATGTACTTAGCTAAATGTCTTTTAAACGTTGTAATTGTACCCGCATCCACCATTTCCTCTGGAATTTCATTCCACACACAAACCACTCCATGTATAAACAAAAATTGCTCCTCATGTCTTTTTTAAATCTTCTCCTTTCACCTTAAAAAATATGCCCCCTAGTCTTGAAATCCCCCACCCTAGGCAAAAGACACCTTATCAATGCCTCTCATGATTTTGTACACCTCTATAAGGTCACCGCACAACCTTCTATGCTCCAGTGAATCAAAATAAAAATCTTATACTACTAAAATGTAATAATTGTAAGAACTCTAGAAGATATGTGTAGGCCTTTCAAAAAATTCCATTAACTCAACTCCATTTGAAAAGAAAATCACACGCATTTGTTTTTGCATTTTTGTTATAAAAGAATCAAAGTAAAAATCTGATATTCTTGAAATGTAATAACTGTAAGATGTCTAGAAATAATCTCAGGAGCATTTGCAAGATCCACACTATTCTCACTTCATCATTTTAGAATATGTACAATATCAACAGTAAAGAATGATTTTTAGTTTAACCAAAATCCGTAGAAGTTAGGCCGTAACGTTGTTAATTGTGTAAGCCCTACCCTTGTTTGTTGTACCAAACTGCAATACCTCACATTTATCCACATTGAACTCAAACTGTTACAGAGAAGGAGAGGTTAAATGAAAGAAAATCCCTGATATTCACTTTATAAGTAACTAGTAACAATTTATTTATTTAACCCTAACAGTGAACAAATTAACAGAACTAACAAAATGAACAATTCTCCCTAATTCCTAACTATTCCCTAACTGAACAAAATTCTATTGTTGTGCTATTCCAATAAACACAAGTCCCACTTATATAATCCAAGTAGTAAGAAAAAAAAAATTAAAACTTAGTCTTTCAAAGTCCACATAGAATGTGTCTTCTGGAATGCGCTGCCTTCTCCACTGTTTCTCCAGTTATAAATGCCTTTCTTCTGCTGATCCTGCTGTCAGGGATGTTTTCTCTGTGAAGACTCTTAGCTAGAAGTGCCGTAGTACCTTTTATGGATAGATGGTGCTTTCTTAGAGAGCTTAGCGATTTCTTGTGAGAGCTAGATGCTTATTTCTCAGATGGTGGTTCACTCTCGCACCAATTTTCAAAAACCCTCTCCTTATATACCTTGGATGACATTTCAATTTTCTTACAATTGCATTGGTCAAAGTTGTCAAAACCATCAGATTTAATTCAATTGGCTTTCAATCGCTAAGTGCTTTGTTTAAATTAATTGGCTGATTCCAGCTCATTGCCAAAATATCAAAACAAGCCTAAGGTTTCCAATCACACAGACAATTGATAGATGTTTCCATTTTAGAACTGGCTATACATCTTCAGCTACATATAGACACTTTTTTTTTCTGTATAAATCTCTAAGCTTAGAAAAACAGTTCATCTCTTAAAGGAACCATGCACTGTTCTCCCTTATCTTTTTATAAATTCTAGCTTCCTGTCTTCCAATTCATGATTACTCTACAGGACTTTGTAACATACCAAAATGCAATACCTTGCATTTATCCAGATTGAACCCCATATGACATTTTTCAACCTATTGACCCATTCTATCACGATTCCTTTATAATCTTAGAAAACGTTCTTCACTGTCTGCTATGCTACCAATTTTGGTGTTTCCTCAAACTTTTAAATCATTTATATAAATGACACACGAAAGAGGACCCAGAACCGATTGGTGAGACATTGCTGGTGACAGACCTCAGGTCTGAAAAGCAGCCCTCCACCATCACACTCTGCCTCTTGCTGTTAAGCCAATTATGTATCCAGTTGGCAAGCCCACCCTGAATCCCATGTGACCTAACTTTACCAATTAGACTACCATGGGGAACCTTGTCGAAGGCTTTACTAAAATCCAAGTAAACAACATCTGCTGCTCTGCCTTCGATGTTTTTGGTAACTTCCTGAGGAAACCTCAATCAAGTTGGCGAGACACAATTTTCCTCACACAAAACCATGCTGACTGTCCCTAATCAATTTTTGCCTCTCTAAATGTCTGTAAATTCTAATCTTTTATAATCACCTCCAAGAATTTAGCCACAACTGAAGTCAGACTCATGTAGGAGTGTAGCATTGTCAGAGATGCTTTTAGTTAAATTAGATATTACAAATGCATATGACGAAAACATTGACAGTTTGTGTCACTTCTGTTGGGAAAAGATGGCTGAGAGGGTGACCTAATTAATAGCATTTAAAAATTATGAAAGATTTTCTCTGTACCAAGTATATTGAAATGTTTCCTCTGGAGGTTGTCAATATAAAGCAGTAACCAAGAAATCCAGTAGGGAATTCAGAAACAACTTTACGCAGGGCGTGGTGAGGATGTTAAAACTCACTCCCATCAGGGGTGATTGAGGTGAATGGTATAGAAATATTTATGGGAAAGCTCAACAACTACATGAAGGAGATGGAATTCGAGGGTAACGATGACAGATTTAGATGAAGAAAGATAGAAAGAGGCTCAAGTGGAACATTAAATGTCAATGGAGAATGTTTGCGCTAAATGGACTGTTTATGTATCATCGTTCTTGTGTAATTCCTAAACCTTCCCTATATTTAGGTAGATGGTTCTAATTCTAACTCCTACACAATACGTATTTCAGGTCTGACTGTTTGTATTCTGCATCCCATTTCACCCCAGAAACACCCCAGATTCTCTCTCTCTCATTAAGATCGCTCCACACACCCATGTTAGAATGTATGTATGTTAATTCAAAGTAACTTTATGTATGAGTGTGATAAGTTGTTAAGTGGATTGTGAACTGGTGATTATAACAGAAACCCATCTTAAACATGGGCAGAATTTTTCTGACTAAGTCAGCATTTGAGAAGGAGGTGTTTAGCCAACTTCTGAAACCACTGAAGCTCATGTGGTGTAGGAGCACCCACAGTGCTATTAGGAAGAGAGTTCCAGGATTTTAACCCAGTCACAGCGAATCTATTCGATTCGAATGAAGGAACAGGGAAGAAACTTGAATTGCTGGCCATTTACTGTAAGGGACAAAGAAAGGACTTGCACTGATCTACTGTAATGCTTTTCACAACCTTAGGATGTCCTGAAACATTTTACCATCAGTGAAATTTTCTTAAAGAGTAGTTATTGTTCTGTTGCAGAAACCTAACTGGCAATTTGTGCACAGACAGCTCCCACAAGCTACAATATAATAATGACAAAATTATCTCTCTTGACTTTTTGATTGGGACTGTTTGATTGCAATTTATTATACACTGATCCATTCTTACCTCATTGAAGTTGGCGTTCCCTCAAATAATTATTTTTACTCTGGATTGTTTATTACCCTGTTCTAAAGTCACTCTTAAGCACTCTTATCATTGACACTTGATCTATTTGGCTCACCTTGTTCACAAGAACCATATTCAGCAATGCTTCCTTTTTCATTGGACCAGAAACATACTCCTGTAGAAAATTCTCCTGAACACACTCTAGGAACTCTTGCCCTTCTCTGCACTTTAGATGATTACAATCCCAGTTTAAATTCAGATAATTCAATGTCCTCGTTGTAGCCACTCTACAATTCTTGCCTGTCTCTATTGTTGCCTTGCAAATTTGTTCCTCTATGTCCAAAGTGGCCTATAGACTATATCAACTTTCACCTTATTTTGTTCCTTAGCTCTAGCCAAATTGATTCTGTCCTTC